TTAAGAATTATGTAACAATGACTTCAAAAACGAAAATGAACTACTAAGTACATTTTTTTGTGTTTGTATATGACCCTTTCAAGGACAGAGTGATTTACTTTTAGTTGCAGAAATCCTTGAATTCGGTTAAGATGTATTATTTTATGAGGACAAAATAAAGAAATTTATTTAAATCTCTTTCTGTCTATTTTCCTCTCTTTAAAGAGATATTCGAAGGTTTTATAAAAATCACATGACGCAGAATAAAATTTAAATGCGGTAGCATGCAAAATGGTGTAAACATCGAGATTATAGAAAATGAAATAGAATACCTGTAATTAGATACTTATGTGAATTTTATGATTTAGAGGTTGCCCCTAAATTTCAATCAATGGAAAAATATCTGCTCAAAATTTAATCAGGAATGCGAAATTTCATGAAAATTATAATTATTTTAAGCTTCTTTTTACCCTTGTACAGATGGGCCAAGTATTGAATGAAAATTCTCGCCTCATAATTTAATATTGTCATTTTGTTATACTTTATCTCTAAAATTTGTAAATCTGCTAGGTTTTCCTTCAAAAACAACTTATTCAATGTCATTTTATTCAAATAAAGTATTCAAAATTTTTATTTTAATTTTATAAATACAAGCATATTTTAAGTTTTTCTCATTTATATTCATAAGGTATCAGTTTCTTTGTATACAATTTTATTGAATGTACTTATAAACAATGGAAAAACATAATTTTCAAGAAGATAATTTAATATACTACATGGTAATAAAGAGCTACAGTATGTTATAATAGCATATAAACAAAATTGCTTTTTTTTTTTTTTTAAAATAAAAGCTTCATTTTGTAAAATCACACAGTATAACAATATAAGTAATTGTAAAAGTTCATTACTCTTATGTAATTTATGTAAATAAATTCAAATATTTTTTTTTGTATATAATATACAAATGTATGTATAACAGTAATACATAATATGCATTTTAGATTAAATCGCTCTTTAGTCTACAATATACTGATGAAGATGCATTGCATTAAGTATAATGTCATTCTTGGTGCATCATCTTAAAACAACAGAACAAATATAACATAAGTATATTGTCTTTGGGTACAAAGTAAATATTATTAAACTTAACAATGTACGGTTTTACCGACTATTGAATTTGAAAAACTTCAAGCGCGAATACATGCAACTGTATGATCATACGGAATTGTACAATCAAACAGTTTGAAAATTTTTAAAAATTGATTGCAATTTAGTAATTGTAAAAAAGTTTAATTTGCGCCCAGTCAATTTGCAATCAATCTATAATTGCAAAATTAAAATTGCACGTCTGCCGTAGTGCTTAATTTGAATACTGTAATTGAAACTATGAATCAGTAAATAAGACAAGTAAGTGACAGATCAGGAGTTAGGTATACGCCTTAACGCTATTTGAATCCCAAATTAATGATACAATCATTATGGCACAACAATTATTTATTGATAATTGAATGTGTTTGATCAAACACAATATGTATATAATCATTATGATTTTTTTGGTTTGATTCAACCAAAGTTTGGATAAATCATCTAAATTGCTCAGAATCCAGAAGAGTAAAGTTAAAGAAGCTTAAATAAATGCTTTGAAATTAAAATATAAACGTTATCTTTCAAACAAAATTATACTAAATTTTAAGTTTTACAATCATACTATTTTCAGTCCAACAAAAATTTGTTCAATTTCATTTTATACATTTACCTTTAAACCAGACTAAAGAGAAAACAATATCAAGATCTCAATGCTCTAATAAAAAGAGAACAACAAGCAAAAAAACCATAAGAAAACTAAAGAAAAACAGATTATTTTACAAGCATAATTTATGCATCAAAATGCATAAGATGATCTATTTAACTATAAAACCGTGTATATGTATCCCTCCACAACAAATTAGTATGAACGTATGCATATTGCATAGTAAACATACAATATAATATTTGTATTGACATCCGTAATCATACAAGAAACTATTATACATTAATGTACTGATAGCATAAAAACATAATTAGTTCTGCGAAATTCTTTCAATATTTTAGATACATACACATATAAGAGTTCCCCAATGAAAAAGTGTTTCTTTTAATTGTTCTTGTTTCTTCAGATCACTTAACATTTTTACAACACTTAATGTTATGGCACTGATATACAATACATTCATGTATGTTCCCTCTTTATATCATTTCATTTTGGTATAGTGTTGTTGTGAGTATATTCTAAAATTTTATGTTTAAAATGCATTTTGATAAAAAAAACTAATAAATTTTCAACATTAATTGCATATCAAGTACAAGTAGTTGATATTAGAATTCTATATGGAGGGATAAAAAAAAACAAAAATGGCATTGTCTATGCATAAAAGAAAATTTGATAAAAATGAACGGTACATATACATATGTACAAACTTATATGACATGTTGCTTTTGAAAAACTTACAATAAATGAACAAAATCTAATTGTCTTTTAGTATTTGTAAAAGTTTGTACATTTAGGGCAATTCAAAATTTTCTTGTATTATTGCAATTGTATAAATATAAAATGAGAAGCTTGAGTTGCAAATTCATTATATTTGGGGTATTAGATCGGACATCAAAGAATATGTAATTTGTTTGATGAGAATCAAATGATATTTAACAATTTTTAAAAGCATCAAATTTTAATAAAATTAAAAAAGAATTATTGAACAATGTTTGATATATGATATTTGTCTAGCATATAAGAAATCAAACCTTTTGTGTGATAGAAATACCAAACAAATTAATTAATTAAGAATTGTATTTTTTTAGATTAATTTTTTAAAATATATAAAGATTTTCATTGAAAGAACAAAATAAATTATTTATTTTGTATTGCATACAAGTTTGAATGCAATACAACATGTTGGAACGCAAGCATCAAATTTGTTTTCTACCTCATTTTCTATAACTTTTTTCTCTCCTCCTCCCCCTCTCTTTTTGAGAATAATTAGAAAATATAGCATGCAATAACATGTAACACTGGAACTTGAGAACATGTTGTGTCAAACCGAATCGAACATGTATTAATGAAATTTACTGAATGATTTTAAGTAGGATAATCTACTTTAGATAATTTTTTCAGTAAGTATATTATGACCAAATGTTTTAATTCAAATTTTATTTCTAGAATTTTAATTAGCTTGTTTTGTGACTCATACAATTTGATTTGTATTACTTATATAAAAAATAATTAGAAATATATAAGTTAGTGGTTAAGATTACCCTTAAAATATAATATGTAAATTCAATAGATATAACATGTATGTAAAATTTGATCTAATTTAAATATTATAACAAAGATACCAATATTTTCTTGTAAATTCAAATTACTTATCTTCCATTCACAATATATAAATTACAGTCAACATTTAATATCTAAATAATAAATTCCCATAACAGTTTTAATAGGTTTTTTATTTTTTTAAATGTTATAAATTTAGCTTTCATAATATTATGCATAAAAACAGTTTAAATTTTACACAAAGTGAAAATCTTTACTAATTTGAATACAAAAGAAAGAAAATGTCATTATAAAATTTTAACATTATCATTAAATTTTCTTAAATTCATTTTACATACATACATTTAAAAATTTACATATGAATGAATGTATATGTACACTTAACATTATTAATTTCATCGTAAAAACATTTTATACACTATATGTAAATACAAACAAATATGAATTATTTATAATACATTTACAATAAGGTATAGAACTTGTAAGTATACATTCAAACATATTGTATAAATAACACACGCATTCAAGCAAACCAACTACTTATATGAACAAGACTAAAAACAGATGTGTACGTATGATACTTAAAACCACTTTACATGGATATTTTGTCACTTTTTATAGTGTTATCATTTTACTATTATCTTTATTTTCTATTTATAAATACAAAAATATGTATGTACATTATATTATGTTAATTGTAAGTAATGAATATTTTAAGTATTTTAAGTAAGTAATTACGATGTTTGATTAAATAGAACATTATTTAAGTATATAGGAATAGATGGAAAATTTATTCATTTAAATATTTATAATTTAAGGAAAAATTAGAAAAAATTAAAAAACTTTTTGAATATATTTCTGCTTCTTGACTTAGAATATACAGACATTTTTTGCGATTAAAATTCTTAAATAATTTGATTTATTAAAAATTAAAAATAAAATTTTTGTTTGAATATTTCCGAGAAATTTCTAAGAACTTGAAATTTAATATGGTTTCTTGGAGAATTCATAGCTTTATTACATATAAATTTTTTAACAAAAATTGAGCATTCCGTCTCATTTTGTATTTTAAATTTTACCCACATTCACAACTCAACTCACGAGTCACTGTAAATTCATGCAGAGGCAAGTGAGACATTTTGATCAAGTGAGAATATTTTTCATGTTTTATGTTTCTCGTATATAAATTTTGAAAATCTAATTGGAAAAAATCGAAATTCTAATAAGAAAAGTAATTGTATTTAGTGAAAAACAGAATTGAGTGATAAAAAAATGAGATTAAAAATGAGGCCGGTGTTAAAAAAAAAAACTATTATAAACTCTACTTAATATTTATGTTATTAGTGTATTTAAATAGTTTTTAATAAACGCGGAATATAGAACAATATTGAAATTAATTAAACATTTTTTGTTATTTAAAATTTTATATGAGAACCGCAATGACATGTTGAATTTTAAAACTCACCACTGTGTAATATCAAAATTTTTTACATTTAAGTGATTTTTTAAAAACTTTTATACTTAATATAATTTTAATAAGAAACTTTCAATATGTTCTTCTAAAATGAACATATACTGAGAGCCTGAACCCTATATTTTCATCATATTATGTGCATACTTGAATTTGACGAAAATTTAGGGTTTAATCTTCCATATAGAAACTTAATTTTATTTACGTTTTCGTTTTTTGTTTGTTTTTTTTTTTTTACAGAAAAATATAAAATAATGGAACATTAAAATTAAAAAGAAAAAAAAAATAGAAAAACTATAAAAAAAATATTAAAATAAAATTTATGAACAGTAAGATAATAAAGCATAAAAAATATAAATAAAGGCGAAACATTGCATTAAATAAAATAACAACGAAGAGAACAAAAACAAAAAAGAGAGTAACATAACAGAAAACCGAACGAAAAAAAACATATCCGATTTGATCTGTAAAAAAATTTAAAAATCTGTGTTATGCTTGTTCGTGTATTTCCGTTTTTCTTTTATTATTTCTCTTGAAACTTTCTTAACTCTTTTTTTTTTATTATTATTATTTTTGTAATGTGTTGAAATTGCTTACCTATACATACAATATATAGGGAACACAATCATATGTGATAATTCAAATGCAAAAAAAAAAAATAATAAAATAAAAAAATAATGAAGAAAAAAATTTACATTATTTATGACATTCGGTGGTTAAAGTGTTAAAAATATAATCAGGCAAACGAATAAAAATAAAAAAAACAGTGATTTTTTTGCCTAAATAAAAAAAAATAAGACTGAAAAGCAAAAAAAAATAGCAAACACAAAACAAAGGAAAAAAGATTTTACGGTCAGATAAAAATTTAAAAAAAAAAAAAATTCTCAATTTGCAAATTTTTGTTTTTTGCTCCTTGCTGTCGTCTCAGAATTAACAAACAGAAAAAAAAATATTTATTCTTCTTTATTTTTCTCTTTTTAACTTTTGCTCCAAAAAAAATTAAAATAACAAATGACTTTCTGTTGTTTTGTCTACCTAAGCGTTAAATGAAGGCAAAGATTAAAAATCAAAAAAAAAAAAAATTATTTTTAGTTAAACAGTCAACTACTGTGAATGCAACGCGACAAAACGTTTCAAACATTTTGTTATAAATCGTCATATGGCACGCATGCAAAGCTACATACTAATGAGAATTTCAAACAATAATATTATATGTAATGTAGCTACTATTTTATGCCAGAGAACAACAACATACACAATTTGTCATAAAATCAGAACTATTTACAGTAATTAAAAAATAATATTCTACAGTGCGATTAAAAGTTTAAAAGAAGCTTACAATTTAATTTGCAGTTTGAATCTCGTTCCATCGACAATTAAAAAATAAAATTATACTCACATAGAGCAAAATAAATAGTGTATATAAATGTAAAAGTGAATATTTTTTTATTTAAAATTAATTAAAATTAAAAATTAATATTTCCAAAGTAAGAATAATTTATTAACGCACAAAAAATAAAAGAGAAGAAAAAACAACAAACAAAAAAGCAAAAAAAAAAAAAAATACGCAGCAAGAGAAAAAATGAAGACGTTTTAGTGATTTGTCGCTTTGTTGCTTTTTAAAAAAATTTTTAATTTATGAAATTTTCATTTCATATTTTTATTATTTCCTGTTTTAAAATCTCCAATTATTTTAATTTATTTTATTAATTTATTTATTTAATTTTTGTTTTTTTTTTTTACAAAATTTGCAGTAAATTCAATAAATTTCGAAAGAAATAAAAATTTCAAAATTAAAGTGAATAAAAAAAAAATTTTTTTTTTAAGTTTTTGTTGCATACGCTACATAAAATAAAAATAATAAGAAAAAAAAAATTTAATTTTTTTATGCATTATTTACGCATTAAATTATTTTTTTTTGTGAAAAATAAAAGTAAAAATTAAAGTGTTGTCACACCCGGCAAAATGTTTCAAATAATTTTGAGCTAAAATTGCAAAAAAAAGGGAAAAAAGTTATAGCTAAAAAATTTACGAATTTATTTCTTAAAAAATTTTTTAATGCAATTTTTTAGTTCGATTGTGATAATTTGGCATTAAATTTTATTTTTTTCGTGTTTTTTTTTTTTTGTTTTCGCTGCTAAAATAATTTATATGAAAAAATGCTTGGAGTTCTTAAGAAATGGAAAACAAATAGAAGGTAAAAATGAAAATCTTATGTTAAATACAACGTCATTTAAATTTATTTTTTAAAATGTTATTTATTAAAAATATTTTGTTTTTCTTTTTTGAAATCATAAAGTCACTGAAAATTAATTATGACAATACTTGAAGCCAGGATTAAATTTAATTATGACAATACCTAAACAATAATTATTATTGCACTATGTCCAGTAAATTCATTCTAATGTGAAGTGCAAAGTGAAATTTGTTTTATCGATCAAATTGTTGACATTAAATTAAGATTTTAGATTTTGTTCCCCAAAATTTTGTTTAATATCGTTCATTTCTTCAAAATAATGTCTCGTACCGGTATCATTTCTACTTGGAGGCTAGAGCATATGTTTTCATTTTTTAACACGCGATTTCTGGAAAAACATTTCAGAAATCTCAACGGAATCAGTTTTTGTAGATCGTAAATTTAGAAATGTATCGTAAATTATTATATATCGTAATTTATTTGAAAATAACAATAGTTTTGTATGGAAACCGTTTCGTTTAATCAAAATCCAAAAAAAAATTTACATAAATCGTAAATTTACGTATATCGTAAATTATATATAATAATTTGTCGGAAAATAACAATAGTTTTGTATGAAATTCCCTTCGTATTTAATTAAAATCCTAAAAAAAATGAACATACATGTATATCGTAAATGTTATATCGTAATTTTTTTGAAAATAACAATAGTTTTGCATGAAATCCCGCCTTCGTATATACTTGTCCAAAATATTTATTTATTATACATTTACAATTCAATAAATACTTACATTATAATGCACTAAAAATTTATTTCAATCATTTAAATTAAGCCAGAGCCAAAAGAAAACTAAATATTGTGTGATTTGTGAATCTTAAAAATTTTTAACTGTCACCTAAAATTAAATGAAAAAATTTATAAATAAGTATGTAAAATAGTGCTATAATTTGATTTAAAATATGAAAAAATTCAATTTATATTTACCCCAATTTTAAATTTAAGTTGCTTTTTAAAAATTTTTTTCTCTGCCTCATATTATAAGTACTTGGGGTCAATAAATATCTTATGCAATTTTGTTTTTTTATTACAAATTGCCTATAATTTAATATAAAATGGCATTTTATTTACATAAATAATAATATTAATGATTTACATACGTAGATATACAATAATATATAAAATGTGTGAACATTAATTCACCGTAAGTTCATAGCCCAGGTGGTTGGTGGTGTGTAGTACATTGCATTAAGATTCAAATGCATTTAATATGCAGGCACATTATTGTGTGTTCTTTACAAATTCGCTGATATTTGCTGAAAATATAATTTATAATAATTTTTTGAATTTTATGTCATTTCTGTTCTGTTCTGTTTTTTTTTGCAGCTAACAAAAAATTTACAATTCTCTCTATCTCCTCGACCATAAATTTAAAATTCTTTCATTTGAAAAACCTATGCAAAAAAAAAAATAATGCAAATATAAGCATTTTTTTCGGTTTTATTTTTTTTAAATTTTTTTTTTGTTATTCTGAAGGTCTTTTTTTTACTTTAATAAATTCTACTGGACTTTTAATGCTTTTCTTTTTGGGTACGTTTTAAGTCAAACAAGCCAAAAAAAAAAAATTTTTTCGGTTTTATTTTATTTTTTGTGATTTATTTTAGTAAATGCAAAAAAAATTTATCTTTTAAATGCCAATAAATTATAAAAATAATTTTTTTTTTATTACACTCAAAAATTTAACAAAATATTTCGTTAATGAAACTTATAGATTATTAAGCAGTTTTTGTCACTAAGAACATAATATGAAGTGATGGGTTGATAATAAAGCATCGGATTAAAAATGATATATTATCGTGGTGCATTAAAAAAACAAAATAAGTAAAGGATTAAGTACTCACTTATGAATAAAAAAAATAAAAAAAAAATTTTTGCAAAATCGGCACTTAAAATTTTGTATAAGAGACACTTAATGTGTTGTGATTAAAATCGTTATTACTAAGCGTGAATTATGTATGAAATGTTGAGCTTTGAGAAAAATACGGGATTATACTAAGCATGATGTGCATTTAATTATTTGTTATATGCTTTGATTTGGGAATGAAACTATTTATTTTGTAGTTTTTTAAGAACTTTGTATAGAACAATAGATGCCAATTAAGTAAAGGCACGCAATGTTTCGTCTTATGTGAAAGGATAATGGAGCAAAAAGACAGTCAGATTTTATGAAATTGACAATATGTCTTCCAATGTCTCAGAAAAGTAAAGCAAATATAGACGATCTATAATGGAAATTAGAAAATTTAGGTATAAATGAGAGATTGTGAGTAATTCGCCCCAATTCGGAAACAAAAAATCTTGCTTTGCTGCAAGTGAAACGGAAAAGAGTGTAGTGCATATAACTAGATTGGCTAATCTAGGTCGGTAAGAGAACGAGGAAGGTTCTATAAAGATGACCTATAGTGAATTACGTTATAACGATTTTTTTAATGCAAAATAACAACAGCAAAAGAGAATTAAAAGCAAGAAGGTTAATTGGAACCATTAAACGGTCTATAGTTACTAACCGGAATGTTACGTATACATAGTTTGTGTCGACAATAGTCATTTGCAACCAAACAAATGAAAGACTTGTCTTCTCTTTTAGATATCAGTTGGTGGTCTGATAATTTTACCATTTTCAAATCAAATTAACTGCTTTATTAGTGTTGTAAACAGATTACAGATACCGCTGACAGTTTATTTAAATAAGTTTTTTTTATTTAATTTTCAACATCGATTGAAGTATTAAGTAGCTGCGAATAAATGTCCAACCGCTCATAATATCTTGTAATTTTTGTACTACAACTTTTGTACTACGAAAATTTTTAAAAATATTTTGGCTACCCATGTAGCAAATTAAACTTCCATTTAAGGGAAGGGGAGTAAAACAAAAACATTTCTTAAACTTCCTTATTTATTTTAGTATGCTAATTAGTTACAAGTTAATGTTTTTGCTTTAATTTGACAAACTTCCTCAAAATAATTTATGTAGGATAGTATAAAAAATTTTGTTACTAGGAAAAATTAAAATAAAATTGCGTGATAAAAAATTTAACACTTTTCTTTTACCGTCATTAATTAATACCATTAATGTATACAATATACCGGATAACATAACAAACTTTTTTATTATAACATTCTTAAGTGTGTTTACAAAGTAGCAACTAGTTACTTATATATTTACTCACTAATCCATCATCACAAAAAATTTTTCGTAATTTTTGACAAGTGAACAAATAATAAATTTTATTAAAGAATTTTTTTTTTGTTATAACATGCTTAATTGTTAGAACTTTTTAGTTATACTAGTTAGTTGAAAAAAAAAACAAAAGGTTACAAAATCGCTGTGCGTTTTTTATTACAACTTCTAACTTTTAATTGTAATAAATTTTCTCAGATTTTATTATAAAATTTTCGTAATCTCACGATTATATTTTTGAATAAATGATTTTTTTTGTTCTGTGTGTCTTTTTGTTCTTAAATGTTTAAAATCTTAAAGCCTTTTATGGATTATGTGTGTGGTATAGTTGTACATAACACGCGTATATACATTGTGAATCCCGACTAGATTGTAAATAATTTCATAAACATAATATTTAAATGGCTAATTAATGATTGCTTGTACGTTCATTCATTTTAGCCTTTTCTACTATAACTAATTCAACTTTAGTACACTAAAAGTACATAAATTGTTCAAATATAAACAAACGTATAGTAAAACTCTCTCGACAATAGCTTATGAGAAATAAAACTTGGGAAATTTTTTAATTGCAGTTTACGTCATTAAGTAATTTAGCAGACGACTAAACTGTAGTAAAATCTGTAACGATTACAAACTAGGAGTATTGGAAATATTAGAGGTCCCAAAGAGCATTGCTGATAGTTGTACTACTCAATAGCGTGATATTTTTTGATTTACAAAGGACAGCCTTCATTGAAATCTATTATGCCTATCACATAACATATAAATGGGTGACTTAACAGAAATTTTCGCAATTTTCAATATTCCTGAGGTTCTATAGTTAAAATCTCTTCAACTTCACTTTCTTACGAATTAAGTACCCAGGCCCTATCACTCCCAGCCTTCGTTGTCCCTATGTTTAATATGAAATTATAACTACAAAATATTGTTTTTGGCAAACTCTGTTAGCTTACTCTATTCCCCGAAGCAAAATTCTTTTAAAACGGGAGAAACTAAATAATATTTTGCTTGTCAAAAGTATAACATAAGCTTTCACTACAGCATTTTTTGCCCTTTTGTTTTTAATGACACTTAGCTCTACAACATTTTATGTAATAAATTTAATTTTTCTTTTGTTATTTCAACTTTTATCATAAGTGAAAATTATGCGTTTAGATTAAAAACTAGTGTTCGTAAAATCAAAAAAAACTAAAACGGAAATGTTACACGGTCTAAGAATATAATAAGATTTCTTTATTTTATAATTTCTCTGTGTACTTAAAACTTATTACTATTAATTAGAAAAAATACAATTTTTTTGTTAAATAACAATTAAGTACAACATAAATATTCAAGTGAAAAAAGAAATATGGGTCAATTTCTGTTATAACTATGTATAAGTGTTCGTGTATATGTAAATTAAACTGTACTAAAACAAGCTCGGGTATAGAAAATTATGTATAGAACTTGTACTTGTAAAGTTTTGGACCACACATTAATTCGTTTTAAATTTACTAGAATATATAAAGGGGAATGACTTGTACTTACGTGTTTTGAAATACTTCGTACTTGTTCGAAATAATTCGTACTGGTTCTTGTCCAAAGAAAACGGATATTCTTAATTTATTTTAACAATGCTTTTGCGAACATTTTAACACTTTTACAGAATACCCTTTTTTTCAATTTCAATATTGCAGTGTAGGGTGCAATCTCTCCATTTTATGCCTTCTGTTCCTCATGATGGCTCATTTAAATGACCACTCATATCGTCACTAAGTT